AAACAAAATTTGACCAAAAAAAGAAAGAAAAAAGAAAGAAGGAAAGAAAAGAAAACGAAAAAAGGAAAAAAGAATAGAAAGAGAAATTCAAAGACAGAAACTGCCAACGAAGATGTAGCACGTTCCTGCAAAACTGAAGAGGGTGATAAAGAGCGAACCGAAAACCTGGATGGCGTCACATGCACGTATTTCCTTTTATCACCTTTTCAAGTATCTTTTACCGATCTCAAAGAAAGAATTATGACTGTTATTTTCCTTCAAAAACCCTGTGTATTTCAGTACCGATCTTGTTGGAAATGTCATTTTCTCTCCCTACTTCGCCTACCAGTGCACATAATATCAACACTATTCTCCTGTGTTTTGTAGATACGAATGAAGACTACATAAAGCTATTCAAACATTTTCTTTGGACATATATGCCATTAAACCTTTTTTAGCAAAGAAATTAATTCGGCTTTTACCAATAAACTGTCTTCATGGGATTTATAACATTATAAAATGGGACATCCTAATTTGTTCTTGATATAACTGTTTGCCCTTAAAGGTGAAAAAATAATGACTGTCATCTAGTAATGCGTGTCACTGGAGAGTGCTGCGTTACCCCTATGGGGAATGAAACTTTTTATTCGTCATTGCATTCATTTTAATGGGTCCAAGTTTTGTATAAGTTTACTCGTAAAAAGATCTGTCAACCTCACTTTTTATCCTTGGTAAAAACTGTTTCTTCTTAACGACGATGTGTCATGTATGAAAATATGTTTATGGCCCTTATGTCAGGCACGACACATTGTCCATTAGTGAGCTTTTTTTCCGTCAATCATTAATTACAAATAGCAATACCCAGGCATTTTCCTATACGCGCAGCTGAAAAAAATGTTTATAGTATTATATCATACTGGGTAGAACAACAAAAGTTAAGGTTTCTAAAAGGGTTTTAGATCTTACAGATTTTCCTGCATCTAATTATTAAATAATGCAGTGCTGTAAAAAAAATCCCGAAAATATAAAATATCGACGTTTTATTTCTCGTTGCTAAGCATAAGTCATAGACAGCTCAAGCCGTTAATCGTCAGTTTAACATCTTTCTATCTTGAGTTGAGATAGCAATCGCTATATATAGGGCACGACTCCACCCCTAATTTTATCACGAAAAGTGGTGTAGGTGATGACGAGTGTATGGGCTTCAGTCCCGTGTCGTCAGAACATCCTGTGTTGCACCCTTGTGCGATTTTAGCGAACACCGTACCTCCTTTGAGCCCGACACGTCGTTCTGGCTAGTTCCACGGTCGCACAAATGTTGCTTACCGTGTAAAGGGGGTCTAACGCACAACAGACGAGGTCCTTAATAATACACCATGTATACGGGACTCGAGTGAATCAAAATTTTACATATTTACGTACATATATATAAATTGATATATTTTATCTTTTTAGGGAAGTATGTTTCAGTCTCTTTTGAATTTACTGATGGGCACCGTTCTACTTTTGCTGGGGCTCCCACTAATAAACGGGTCACAGGTCAGAGGCACAGGCGGAGCTGACCAGATCACCACTACGAGTTCTACTCCAAATCAGCTACAAACTCCCCCAATGCCACCAGTCCTTGACAACGAGACATTAAGTCATCCTTTGCCTGTGACCACACCAGTTCCTCAAACTCCTTTGGGATCTTCTTCGGCCACCGNTCACCGGCCTTAAGAATCCACGATTCGTGTCAGATTTACGTACGGTCGCACAAAGAAAACCCCAAGTCCACATAATGACCAGTTAAACGGTTTATTTGTGGACGCTCGTGCTGTAACTTCATGTTCTAAGTGAAATCTACAACTCTTAACTGTCCGTATTTACGTCCGAGTTCTTAGTGTTCTTCTCTCCTCACTCTCTCGAGCGCTCTCCTTATATCAAACTAACTAAGCGTCAATGACGCGATAAATACAAATGTTGATTATTTTAATTTGCAGAGTTAATTGCTTTAAATCGGTGCTGTACAAAGAAGCCGTCATTTTACTCAAGAACTCTTCGACGATGACACGTTATATAATATGACCTCATGAAATATCTTTATTACTTTTATGTCTGGCACGACACATTGTCCATTAGTGAGCCTCTTTTTTCGTCAATCATTAATTAGAAATAGCATTACTTAGGCATTTACCTATATGCGCTCTTTATATTATATTATATTATATTATATTATATTATATTATATTATATTATATTATATTATATTATGCAACAATTTTGTACACCAATATAAAAGTACTCAAAGGGTTTATGATCAAGTGTACGAGAAGTTTCATTTAATTTGCGTTGAAATGGTGTTCGTGGGTGCTGAGATAAATAGACATTTGAGAAACCGATTTTGCATATTTATCCCCTTGAATTAATATTTTAATCATGACGTCATCGGTGAGATGACATTTGTGTAAATGCTAAGAAATTTTGTCAATGATCACTTAAGAGTTATTTATTATCCAAAAAAGGCATGCACGGGAGTATTATAAACTAGATTTTGGCTAACCCACAGCTTGCAAAGATATCTACAACAACTTCACAGGACACAACGCGAAATTAGCTGTGAGGCATATGTGTTATTTCCTTTGATGAAAGAAACTATTCCTTACACTTTGAAATTACTTGGGAATTAAGAACAATTTTCAATGCTTCTCAATATTTGAGTAGTAAGGAGAAAACTAGATCACTGAAAGTAATCATTTGTGATGAGTCATTATCACCCGTTAAGCTACACCCAGTCGTTAATATATATATTTTTTTTTCACAAATAAAGATATAATATATCTTAAATAATAATCAAACTCGAGTTTCCCTGAATATCCCTGTCAGATTATTTGTGTGCAGATCAACTATCTGCTACATTGAGAATCAAAACTTTGTCAACGGTGCTAAGTTCTCTCTTTCAAATAGCCGAGTATAAGCATGTTCACAAGTTTGCTCATTTATCCTAATGTCACAGAGATTTGGTCATTTAACGAGACCATTTTTCAAAACCCCTACTCAAATACAACGATACTACATGTACCTTTTCTCTTTCAAGTACACGTCTTTCATTCGGTTATTTTCTTTTACCAGCTTTTATTTTTATTTTATGGACTGGAGTGTGTAGGAAAATCACAAATCTAGAAAAGGATAAGGTAGAGATTTAAAAAAAAAGAAATATATTCCATTTCCCAGTACCATAGGTCTGAACAGATCTAACCAACTCAAAACAAAATTTGACCAAAAAAAAAAAAATAAAAAAAAAAGAAAGAAAGAAAACGAAAAAAGAAAAAAGGGTAGAAAGAGAAATTCAAAGACAAACTGTTTCGTGTTAAGTGCCAACGAAGATGTAGCAGTTTTCTGCAAAACTGAATGGGGTGATAAAGAGCGAACTGAAAACCTGGATGGCGTCACATGCACGTATTTCCTTTTATCACCTTTTCAAGCATCTTTTACCGATCTCAAATGTGGATGCAGGCGAAAGAATTATGACTGTTATTTTCCTTCAAAAACCCGGTGGAGTATCTATTTCAGTACCGATTTTGTTGGAAATATCATTTTCTGTCTCTACTTCGCTTACCAGTGCACATAATATCAACACTATTCTCCTGTATGTGTTTTGTAGATACGAAGTGAGACTACATAAAGCTATTCAAACATTTAATTTGGACATATATGCCATTAAGACTTTAATAGCAAAGAAATTAATTCGGCTTTTATCAATAAACTGTGTTCATGGGATTTATAACATTATAAAATGGGACATCCTAATTTGTTCTTGATATAACCGTTTGCCCTTAAAGGTGAAAAAATAATGACTGTCATCTAGTAATTCGTGTCACTAGAGAATGCTGCGTTACTCCTATGGGGAATAAAACTTTTTATTCGTCATTGCATTCATTTTAATGGGTCCAAGTTTTGTATAAGTTTACTTGTAAAAAGATCTGTCAACCTCTCTTTTTATCCTTGGTAAAAACTGTATCTTCTTAACGACGATGTGTTATGAATGAAAATATGTTTATGGCTCTTATGTCGAACACGACACATTGTCCATTAGTGAGCCTCTTTCCGTCAATCATTAATTACAAATAGCATTACCCAGGCATTTTCCTATACGCACAGCTGAAAAAATGTTTATATTATATTATATCATACCGGGTACAATAGCAAAAGTTAAGGTTTCTAAAAGGGTTTAAGATCATACAGATTTTCCTGCATCTAATTATTTAATAATGCAGTGCTGTAAAAAAATAAAAAATACCCCGAAAATATAAAATATCGGCGTTTTATTTCAAGACGTTAAATATGCATACAAAGTCAATTTTTTGTCACAAAAACCAACAAAATGCCAGCATATAGTTTCAAGTAATATAACTAAGAGAATTACCGAAAGGCATTGTTTAATTTTACCCGAAAATGATGTTTCAACGGATTTTTCTGCTGGCATTCTAAGCTGTACAGGTATGTCAATGGGGCAGGAAAGTAGGTCACGAAAGTAGGTTAAATTTACAACCAAAAATTTTAAGAAAGGAGCAGTCTAAAGGTCTTTTATGGCTGATCGAGTGATCTATTCAGTTTATCCCTTGGCATGTCGAATTTAATTGAGTCATATAAGAATCTAGTAGAAGTGGTTTACATGGAAACCACGCTCCACCGATGCTCGGTTCGTATGTACCTTTAATCGTGCGTTTAACACCTTTTTATCTTGAGTTGAGATAGCAATCGGTATTGGGCACGACTCCATCCCTTATTTTATCACGAAAAGTGGCGTAGGTGATGACGAGTGTATGGGCTTCAGTCGCGTGGCGTCAGAACATCCTGTTTTGCACCCTTGTGCGATTTTAGCGAACACCGTACCTCCTTTGAGCCCGACACGTCGTTCTGGCTAGTTCCACAGTCGCACAAATGTTGCGTACCGTGTAAAGGGGGTCTAACGCACAACAGACCAGGTCCTTAATAATATACCATGTATACGGGACTCGAGTGAATCAAAATTTTACATATTCACGTACATATAAAATGATATATTTTATCTTTTTAGGGAAGTATGTTTCAGTCTCTTTTGAATTTACTGATGGGCACCGTTCTACTTTTGCTGGGGCTCGCACTAATAAACGGGTCACAGGTCAGAGGCACAGGCGGAGCTGACCAGATCACCACTACGAGTTCTACTCCAAATCAGCTACAAACTCCCCCAATGCCACCAGTCCTTGACAACGAGACATTAAGTCATCCTTTGCCTGTGACCACACCAGTTCCTCAAACTCCTTTGGGATCTTCTTCGGCCACCACAGCTACTGAACATGGCGAATCCACAACCTCTCCAAACCCATGGGGCAACAGGGCGTTGCCTTCGCCAGTAGCTCGTCAGCGGTTCTGCGCCCTCGTGGAACCCTTTGATAAGGAACTTGGTCACAGTATCTACATTTCATGTTATTGCGATGACGTGTGCCATGCCCTAGGTGATTGCTGTTTGGCTTCTAATCTGCAGTGCAACGAAAGAGACATAAGTGCTAACACCAACACTTCTCCCTCATCGTCGCCACCAATAATCGTGGGAGCCGATGACTTGGAATGTCGTTCGCAGATAACTAAAAAAAGAAGAGGTCGTCTGGTGTCCAGTAGGTTCTTCTGGATGATAAAAGCATGCCCAGGGAATTGGTTTGACGATGAGATCCGGGAAAACTGTGAGAACCCGAACTCTACTATCGAGGCAAGATTGATAGTGCCTGTGTCTGACCCAGTCTCAGGGTTCACTTTCCGGAATTCCTTCTGTGCCATGTGCCATGGCGTCAATCAGTACAAATCCTGGACCATGACCGTAGAGTGCATTCTGTCGAACTATGACGCCTTTGCAATGAAAGCTAGAAGTGTGACGTCCATATTAGAAGCAGTGCATGGACTTCCGGATTGCCATGGTAAATTCTATGAACCAGATGGAATCCCTGGTAGACCGTGCATAGACAGTATCTCCAACAGTCACGGGCAAGGTATACTCTTTAGCGGTAACCCAAACGAGTGCTACAGAGATTCTCCTTACCGTGGACTTTGCGGCAACACTTCAATTACGGCTATCACGCATGTAATGCCTCACACCACTGAAGCTTTTTATGCCAGAAATCATTTCTGTTGGCTCTGCAGATACACTCATACGCCCTCATTTGGTTATTGCCCTGGAAACAGTAAGTAAATATTTATTGTTGTTTTTTTTTCATGTAGATCAGTTTTGTAATAGCATACTTTACTGGGCAGACGCAATGTGTCCGGGCATATGACCACCGGTGGCTGCCGCCGTGCACTTTTCAGGAATTTTTACTCGTTAACAAACAGAATTAGAGCCATGATGCTTATCATTATTATCAAACCTTTAGGATTGATATAACTGAGATGCACTTCAAAAACATGCCTGACTGGGTTGTTTTCTCCTTAGTTCTTAAGCTTTTTGTGATTTTTTCTTAAACTGGTGTTTTAAACTGACTTTTAAGTCTCCTGATCTAATGTTCAATGCAAGTTACATTTTCTGAATGTCCGCTACATAATTAGACAAGTCATTGTTGTAACATTGCATCAAACTGACTGCTTTTTTTTTTCAGTTTTGATATTTAAAATTCTGCCCATTTGACGGCTTTGTTGCTTTGTTTGAAACATTACGCTGGATTGTATCGATCTCAACCTACAAATTGAAAAAGGGGAGAGAAATGCATTGCCTATTTTTCATTTTAGAGTGAAGCAACATTTGCTTTAGTCGACACAAACGTCATTTTGTGTCAACAGTAATAAGAACTTTTGTTTTTTTATATAGCCCGTCACCTGCGTCTATCGTCGCCGTCCTCGCTCAGAACTTTCAATTAGGATCGTGATAACACGATAAGTGGAAAACCGTTTACCTTTTTGTCTTCAAACTTACGGAACTGTTGATTATTTTTACAATACAGGTCGAGTTCGAAAACGGGCCTGATCCGGCAAATTATCTAAAAGTTATGCTTTTTTTTTTTTTTGCTTTTTTCCAGCAAATATGCAAATGCAGATGATACGTTTTAAGGAAAACCGATTTGCCAATTGACTTCACACGTACAAGAGTGATCAATATTTTTATGATATATTAAGAATTGGTGTCCTTTTCTGGAAGTTATTCAGTTAGTTTGTGAAATGTTAATTTTTCACATATTCAGGCCTCATAAACGGATTGGGCGTTTCCCACCACGAGCCTCAGATTCCCGAGCGCAAACGCCAATATTAACGAGCCCCACCTCAGATTAACAAGCACAACGTTAAGTTAACCAAGGAGTTATAACATTTCTGTTATAACTCCTTGAGTTAACGAGCACTAACTAAGCGTTTCCAAGCACTAGCCGTTGATCCGCTTATCTACCCGTTCGGTATGTTCCGTATTAGCCGAAGGTTGTCGAGAACGCATTGCTGCTGTATGGATAGTGGAATATACTAATGCAGTAGTTTGGTTTGTTTTGAGAATTTTTTATATATTCTACGTTTATTTTGCACAAGTTAAAATATTGATACATGGAAACAGATATTTCTGAGTCGGTGAAAATAGTCGATGAATCATTTGTTACTTGCGTCCAATTTATCATTTGCGTTCTTTCAAAATCTATTACTAATGATCTAGCCACTATATCTGGCCGTGGCGTGGACGTTGAAAATCCTTTCTCTTTCGTCAAAGAGACAGAAAGGCGTTTGAGCCCAGAAATCTCTGAAAGTTCCACCGTTATGTCTCTTGTATCTTCCGCCATCTTGAAATAGTCCCTAGTTCTTAAAAAGGACCCGTATTTAAGCAGCCGGGGGCCCCGATGGAAGCTGGACAAATTGATAGTGCTTGGAAATGCTAAGTTTGTGCTCGCTAACTTTACGTCGTGCTTGTTATCTGAGGTGGGGCTCGTTAATATTGGCGTTTGCGCTAGGGAATCTGATGCTCGTTCTAGGAAACGGCAATTATCGTTTATGAGGCCTGATATTGACATTTTCAGAAAGTGACTCTGAACTTCCCTGGGCCTGAAGACCCTTGCTAATCTTATTTTCCAAATATCTATGATAATTGCAGTGCATAATTAAAAATTGGTGGTGATTATGCTATTAAGCGTTATGTAATATTGCATCAAAACTGAAAAAAAAATTATTTTGGGTACAGTCGCCAGAGTGACCATTAAAAGAAAACCATAAATTTTATTAAAACTTTTCATTATCAAAGTTACTGAATTGATGCATAGGAATGAAAGCTTAGATGAAGCTCTTTGTGAAATTTTTAGTTTTCACAGATTGGCATTTCCAATGGGGACCTTACAACTCCCACGAGCATGAAGTCGAATTGAAGTACATTTTCTGAATGCATGCATGCATGCTACGTATAGTAGGTGATTATAAATTGGTGGTGATTGTGTTTTAAATTATGCAATATGAATTAAACAATATTGCATCAAATTGACAAAAGCCTACTTTGTGCACTGCCATCAGAAACATTATGAAAGAAGACTGTGTTACTTCTTATTTTTTAACTAACAGGAATGATTCTTAGGATTACCATACATCTGATATTTGAAAACCAGATCGATGGGATTATTTTTCTTGAATTAATGCATTTTTGTGATGATTTCTTTTTTCTTATTCTGGCATTTTTAAAGCGTGAACTTGAACTTCCATGGGCCTGAAGTCTTAAGCTTGTTATACATTCTTAATGTCCGTGTTATATCTTGTCTGTAGTAAAATTTTGGTGTGATTTTGTAATAATGCATCAAAATTGTCAAAATAACGTATTTTTGCATCATTATTTTCTGCTTTTTGTAAGTACATTTGACAGCTTTGGTACATGTACCTTGTTTATGTGTGCGATAATTCTATATTTATCGCACATATAAAAAACAAAAGTTCTCATTACTTAGTTCCCTGATGACCCCATATACATGTATATATACGTATGTTGAAATGCTATTTGTATACTATTCAGGCGAGTCGGATGTTAAGAAGTTTAATCCTGTGGCGTTTTCAGCGCTTGTGGATCCAACAACACCGGAACCACTAGAATCGTGTAACTCCAACACAAGCATTGTAAGACATCAAAGACAACACATTTATCTATTCTCGTCATTCGCATGAAATACACGTTTTTAGAAATAATTAATACATTTTACCTAGGCACAACTTTGAAACCAAAATATTCCATATTAAATGCAAAGGCTGAATAATAAGAAAAAAAAACTCAAGTAAAACCCATCGATAGTTCCTTCTGAAATATACAGGAAGACATGGCGTTCTGAATGACTGGCAAGTAAACATTGCTCACTGCTTAAACGAATTGCTCTAAATGAGTGCAAAAATGTTTTGTTTTTTCTTTTTCAGATGACCTGCCCAAGTGAAAAGATGCCGGAAGTGTGCGCGTCACCTTTCCTTTCTCTTGTCAACGTGTTGTACAAGCTGGTTATCGATTTCATGGTCACCGGAAATGACACCATCGCTGAGGTGTTTGATGCCTGTAAATCTTTTCGTTTCCCACAGAATCTTGTAAACCTTTTAGGTAATGACAACAGTAAAACTTGGCGACCACAAAGGATGGGTCAAAAACCTTACAGTTGCCTTGTTAAGAATATCTCCTCTAGCACCGTCTACCCACGCGATCGAGAGGAATCACAATTCGTAGTTCAGTTAAGCCTTAATCTTCTCTTGGCCAAATATATCCGTAATTATGACGAAGGTTTCAGTTTGTTTGCTTCACTGCAGGATCGGATCGAATCTGAGACAGTGGCTTACACATACAAGGGGAACGCCTTTCCTCTGCGCGTGATTCGTGATAAAGCCCATAACTGCGCATCAATTCAGCCGCCAGATGCCACTACTTGGTTTGTGACGAAGGCGGCCAACGTCAATTCTGCTTCTTTTTTCGAGAAGGTTGATATCATCTTTGTCATAATGACAGGAATGGCAGTCGGGTTGATAGCATTTAATATTATTTAATTCTCCCTAAAACATAAAAGGACCATCTGTATGATTCAAAAGTAATTTTTTCTTTTGGATTAACAAAATTTACTAAAATTTTACCTTTAAAAAGTCCCTCTAGGACTTCCAAACAAAAGACACGTCCCTTTGATAGATATTGCTAAACTATCAGAATGTGTTACTGTTTAGTGTATTCATTTCATTTTAAGATTGTCTAAAAATGCAATTATTTCGCAAGGGCCGAAATTTCATTGAATGAAATGATGCAATGAGATTTTGAAATACTAAATTATAATAATTATTTCATAATTAAAGAGAAAGATTTAGAACAACACAAAACCCAGAAATGATATTATTTAAACAACTTTCTTGTGGTTAAAAGTATTTTCGTCCGACTAATTGATTTTGATAAATGATATTGTTTTCGCAAAAATTAACTCATGGCAATTATCTATTAAAATGAT